TGGAGCTGTTAGAGAATGGCTCATTTGAATGGCGCGCGCCGTTCCATCCGGATATACCGCTCCCTTGGCTCGATGCGGAGCATGACGTTGGCCCCACTGTTTTGCAGATTTTCAAGGATGGGCCGAAGAGGTGGAATGGGCATCGGTACGTCAAACCCTTCTAACTGATAAAACTGCACCTACAAATCCTCCAATAAACAATCTACAAAATCCACATCGAAACAACACGCGCAAGCTATGTATATCTAATACAAATAAAATACATAAAGAATCGCACTCTCCTTCGAAACCCTGACCCCCAACCAAGTCTGCGCCGCCTTCTCCCGCGCCCTCCGCCGCTCATGCGTGTACACCTACTCTCCCAAAATCGACATCAAAGTCTCCATCCCCGCTGGCTACCGCGAGCACCTGGAGGGCATAGAAGTGTTATTCGGGCAGATGCAGGCGCCCTATTTCCCGCAGCCGGAGTTTATAAACGCCGGGCACAATCAGCACCAGAGTCAGGCTATCGCGACAGCAACAACACCGTCATCAACAACAACAGCAACAGCAACAGCAACAATAACCAGATCAGCAACGTCAGCAACGTCAGCAACGGCTGCGGCGGCGACGAAAAAAGCGAGTAAGATAAGGGGGCCTGGTGCTGATGTGGGACAAGGACAGAGACAGGGGCATGGCACGGGAAAGGGCCCCGGAGAGCCGTATGGGGGTATTCAGTCGCTGGGACTTGTGGACGAGGCGAGGAGCTTGTGGGAAGGGTGGAGGGATATGGAGGAGTATGCGCGGGAAGTCTTCCCAGTAGAGGAGGAGGCGAATGGGTTGGATTGGATGATATAGGCTCGATTGAGTCTTATTGTTGGGGGGTGACGCCCTCGATTTGGATGGGGGATATGAGCATACGAGATATGAGATATGACCTACGAGATTTGAAATTTGAGATATATTGAGATTTTGAATGACTGATTTGGGTTAGGAATATTGTTGAATTGGCCCCAAAGGGCATGAATGAATGAGGAAGGCGAGTGTGGGTATATCTCATCTCACCTCATTCATCTTATGTTTCTTTATTTTATTCAACTCTTTATGTACGTATGGTTAATGAGCCCAAAAAGACGCTCTTTTTTCATATCATACGTCTCGTGGTATTGTTGGTATTGAGAAAAAGAACCGATTTCCCCCCGTTTTGCGATATCCTCCCTTTCATCTTGGAAACCCCCCTTTTAACCACTGTGTCTAAACCCAAGTTGTGATCGAAAATATTCCACAAGCTCAATCAAACCATAGATAGCATGATAGCATTGCAATAATTATTAATCGCTCTCGACATTCCATCTAACTCTCCTCGTTTTCAATTCTCCGGCCCTGAGCGAATGCGTTCTCTAAGCCACTATCAAACAGTGCTACTGTAGACGCAGGACCTTGAACTTGTGCGCAGTGCAAAGTAGGGCCGGCCGCAGGATCGAGGGCTGGCGCGAATTACACAGTCCAGCAAGTATCCAACAAGAATCGGGTGCATTAGCCTATTATTGTTAGGTGGAAGCTTCCATAGCTTAAGGAGCTCTAGTTGGTGGTAGTGGTAGGGGAGAAAAAGGAAAAAGTTTTCCTCCAAAATTTCCGCGAACAAAGTTTCTGTTAAATAACCTCCTTTTTTCCTTTTTTCTTTCTTTCTTTTTTGGTGGGATATCGCTTTCTTCCTTCCACTTCGCGTATTTTTTGTGGTTTTGTGTGGTTCGATATACCTACTTTCTATTTCTTTATTCCATTCCATTCTGTGTTGTTGTTTGGTATATAATTAAACTGGACGTCGAGGGAAAAGGTGTGTAAAACTTTCGTTCAAGTCGGCGACAAAAAAGCGGGTTATTTAAACTTCCAACACCAATACACCACCAGCATTTATCGGTGCTTCATCTTTGCTTTCCTCCTCCTCCTCCTCCTCCTCCTCTCACCTAACTCCTATCAAAATTGTTCCTCCCCCTCCTGTTTTATTTTGGAGAATGTGCGCACCGCACGAGAACTTTTCCTCATTTCCCAAACACGACACCAAGCCGGTCGCTAACCCACGATATCTAATAGAGACGCCTATACAATGGCCTCCGACGACGAAGTCCCGCTCCTCAAGCGCACTGAATTCATGACTGATGACACCCCTGTGATCTCCAAAGAAACCACGCGCGAAATGGCGCTGCTGGAGCGCGACTTCGTGGAGGCGGAGGTTCAGGCGCGTACGTATTGATTGATATTCCTTTTAGCCATGGCCATGTTGCGTTGCTTTGTTAGGGTGTGTCTCACTCAATATATATATCTTTGGGAATCGAGGCGGAGAAATATAAGAAATACATAATCTGGCTGGCGGAAAAAAAAAAAAAAAAATAGATAAATTTGGTTCTACGGGACAACGAATGGCTAAAATCTAATACAATGATGTATCACAATTACAGTTCGCGCCTCCGTTCCGATCTTCCGGCCCCTCTACACCCGGCGCAACGCTCTCATAACCAGCAAGCTCTCCGAGGCCGAATTCTGGCCACGAGTCTTCTCCAACCTCGAGGAGTACGTCCTCCCTTCCGACGAAATAATCATCGACCAGTGCCTTAAGAACTTCACCGTCGAGCGCTTCAGCGTCAACGATGCCGGCGATGCCGGCGAACCCCGTAACGTCCGCTTTACATTTGAGTTCGACACCAGCCCGGATCAGAATCCCTGGTTTGGCGGCGACGGCAAATTCGTCAAGGATTTTTACTGGCGGAAGAGCATTGGCGTTTCGGAGAAGAGTGGGAGGAGGTCGGTGTGGGAGGGCCTAGTGTCGCAGCCTGTGAGGATTCCATGGAGAAAGGCCGAGATGGATCCTACCAACGGGCTTTTGGATGCGGCGTGTGACCTTGCGGAAGCGGAGGAGAAGGTGGCCGGCGGAAAGGGGAAGAAAGTTACTCCGGAACAGAGGTTGGAGTTACCAGAGTACGAGAAGGTGGTGAAGGAGGTGGCGAAGGCGGAGGCCATGGTGGACTTGCATGCTGAGGATGAGGAGGATGGGGATGAGGATGAGGATGGCGACGATGATGACGATAACGACAATCAGGACCAGTCTACCATGAGCTTCTTTGCGTGGTTTGGGTATCGGGGACGGGATATCTCGGCTGAGGAGTCGGAGGAGGCTGTGAAGGCAGATGAGGAGTATTGGGGGAAGATTTCCCGCGGAGAGAAGGTTGATGGTGGCGAAGGGAAAGACGGTGAGGATGCTGATGATGTGAGCGAGGAGGGGGATGATGATGGCGGCGATGAGGATGGGCTTCTGGATGCTGAGATATTCCCTGATGGCCATGAGCTTGCTATGGCACTCAGCGAAGACATCTGGGAGAATGCTTTTAAGTATTACGGTATGTCTCGTTTTGATAAATATTTCGTTTCTTGTTCCCGCTTTCTTTGCTTTCCTCTCCTGCTAACTGTGTGAATGCAGTACAATCACTTCAGATTGGAGATGGCATCGATTCGGGTTTTGATTTCGACATGGATGGGATGGAAGACGATGATGACGATGACGATGATGACGATGATGAGGAGGAAGCTGATAGACCTCGCAAAAAGGTCAAGACCTGAACCTTTCCCCCTTTTGTTTCGCCTTTGTCGTTTTCTCTGATTGAATGATTGGTATCTGATGGGATGTTCTCGAGGTTTGCGTGAAAAGTCGGGTATTTAGCTTTCGTCTTTGTCTTTCGTTTTATTGAACAATGTATACCAAAGGAAGTCAGGCCCTTCCAGTCCCCGTTCTTGTTTGTAGTTATAGCACAATAACCAGAATTAGTAGTAGGATCAACACCATAATTAATACCGCTATACAGCAGCTTGACGCAGTATCTGCCAAGAGGATCAACCATAGTTAGCAATAATCTCCCATATTGATGTAATAATGGAGCAAACAGAAAGGATTCATACCCTCATTACGCCTTATAATTTTTCCCACCCTCCTAACCCCACTCTGCAACGTGTCCCCAACTCGATCAGCCAGCGTGTCAACCTCTTTCAGCATCTCCACCTGCTCCTCCAGCTCTCGACCCATATCATCCGCCTGCCGCCGCAAGGTCCCCACCGTCTGAAACACGCCGTCAAGCTGCTGGTCCTGCTCCGCCATCAGCTCTTGCTGCCGCTGCTGCTCGAATTCTGCATAGTAGTCTTCCCGATCGCCGTCGCCGAGTAAATGCTCATCGTGGAGCTCGAAGTGTGAAGGACTGGGTAGTGATTGTCCGCTAACACCAACACCAGCCTGCCTACTACTCCTCACAGCGCTAGAAGCACCAGAAGCAGTCGCAGAAGCACTGGCGGTAACCACCCGCACTAGCTCCGCGCGCATCCCCTCGATCTCCCGCCCGATATCTTCAACTAACTGGCGCCGGCGGCCAACCTCCTCCAACTCAAGGCCATAGCGATATGGATCGTGCTCGACAACGCGCACACTTTCGACGAGGTCTTTCAGATCCGTGGAGAGATCGTGGAGGGTTGTTTCAAGCTCTGAGCGTGCTTGCTCGAGTTCTGGGGAGGCGGGGGTGGTGGCTATGGAGCGGATGCGGAGGTAGGAAGAGAAGAGGGATCGGGTATTGTTGAGAGCAGAGAGGACATCACTGGTTTGTTTGTGGGGATGATGTTAGCTTCTGGAGAGGGACGGGAAGATAGGGAGGGAGAATAAACATACGCTTGGACCTGGAGGAAGGGATCTGTTTCTATCGAGGACGCCATGTGTATGTGTATAGAGGTGTAGGGAATGCTGGATATGAAGAGGAAGCGGGTATTAGAGTTGGAAGTTAGATGATTTGTCGCTTTAGGAAGCTTGGCGCCAAGTCCGGAGCTCAACTGCGAATTCAAAAATTTATATTTTTCTATTGTCCGTTAGGCTGGTACTGAGTACTCTTTCTCTCCAGCAAAATTAGATTCCCGTCGGTTTCCTCGACGGACATTACTTCATTCTCTTGTATCTTATACAATTCGTCATGAATCTACTCGCAATGTCGCTAGAACATCTGCCCATCTGAGAAGCCCACGATACCCCTCCATGCACTATGCGCCCCGAAACCCCCCTTCCGCTCCCCGCCTGCTGGCCGGATGCGGACACCTACATATCCTCCCTCCTCTCCTTCATAACGACTTCTACTATATTCCGCAACCTGTGCGGGGGCGTGCATATCCTCGACTTCCTCACCCGTATTCCAGATCTCTACACAACCGTCCTCCCGCAAGAGTGGAGGGATTTCTTCGTGCACCATGATATTGGAGTTATATTAGATTTGCTCATGCGAGAGGATATAGACGCGCTGCTACGGAATATTACAGGTCCGGCCAATTTGCATGGAGATGATTTTGGCGGCTGCTGGAGAGGAGCTCCGGTGCTTCCCCCCGAGAGTCTTCTGCGATATATCAATGATGTTCGCCGACATTGCCTCCGGCGTGAATTTCCGCGATTGCCAATCCCAATATCCAACACCAGTAACAGCCAACCTTCCAACAACAATAATTATCATAATAATCATAATCTTAATAATGGTAATCACGATACCATCCCGCAGCACATTGCTATCGGTATGAAACCCAAAAAAGCCCATGAAGTCGCTCATTTCGCGCGCTACGTCGACGCGCTATCCGATTATATCGAACAGGAAGCAGGTGGGGCGGAGGTCATCTCGCATATTGTCGATTTTGGCTCCGGGCAGAATTACCTGGGCAGGACATTGGCGAGCCCGTTGTATAATCGGCAGATTATCGCTATTGAACGCAGGCAGAATAATATTAGCGGCGCGATGGGGAAGGATGTGCTTGCAAAGTTGAAGAAGAATAAGACCAAAATGAAGAACCAAGGGAAGAAGGAGAACGCGAGTGGTGTTGTTGAGGTTGCGGCAGAGTCTGACTCTGCTGTGTCGACATCACGAAATGGGGAGGAGGTTCGGGTTGAGGATGGGAAGGAGGATGTGATTGATCTTGATATGGGGGGGTGTGTTGGCCGCAATAATGGCCGGACTACATATAACGCTGTGGCAAAGGAGAAACATGGTTCTAAAGGGTCTATGGATTATATCGAACATGATATCCAAAATGGATACCTGGAGGCCATAGTCAGGCATGTCGTGGAACCATCATCTCCTCCAAGCCCAAACGGTCAAAATCCACAAAGTCAACGTACATGCAAATATCCAAATTCGCCTCCCAGCTCCGAAAGCAATACCAAACCCGCCCGCGTGATGGTCATCTCCCTCCACTCTTGTGGCAACCTCGTCCACCACGGCATCCGCTCCCTCATCCTCAACCCCTCCGTCACCGCCATCGCCATGATCGGCTGCTGCTACAACCTCATGACCGAACGCCTCGGTCCTGCAACCTACAAACTCCCCATCCTCCGTTCCCTCCACCCTCGCCTCGAAGCCACGTCAAATGCCTACGACCCACACGGATTCCCCATGAGCAAGAAGCTCGAAACGTACAGGCACGAGGGCGGTACAGGGATCAAGTTGAACATCACCGCGCGCATGATGGCTGTCCAGGCGCCTTATAACTGGGGCCCGAAGGATAGCGAGATTTTCTTCACAAGACACTTTTACCGCGCGCTGTTGCAGCGGGTGCTGGTGGATTATGGCGTTGTGCCTGTTCCCGGGATTGGGGGTCCAATTGGCGATGTACCCTTGGAAGGCGGAGGCAAGGCGGAGGAAGTGGCCAGCGGTACGCCGTTGATTGTAGGATCGATGCGTAAGGCTGCGTTCGTTTCGTTTGCCGCATATGCGCACGCAGCTATTGAGAAGTTATCGCGGGATGCGCATTACGGGGGGGCGATTCGGGAAAAGGTATGCGGGTTGCCTGAAACAGTGTTCCAGCGGTATGAGGCGCGGTATGCAGTGTATCGGAAGAATTTGAGCATTGTGTGGAGTCTCATGGCGTTTAGTGCTGGGGTTGTGGAATCAGTGATTGTGGCGGATCGGTGGCTGTTTCTGCGTGAGCAGGCTGAGGTGAAGGAGGCGTGGGTGGAGGCGGTGTTTGACTATCAGCAAAGCCCAAGGAATTTGGTTGTTGTTGGGATTAAGGGGTGACCGTGATTTCCATTTGTGGCTCTTCTGCTCTTCGGGGAGTTGGCTGGCGAACTGTGCGTCTGGTACTATCAAAGTCAAAAGGTAATCTCTCACGCAGATTGCAAGCGCTGGTTTCTCAGAGTATAAGACTAGTTGAGAGGGAATACGTTGTCCAGAGATGCAGTGGATAGTTCAAACTTCGTCTCCTGCCAGAGGTCTATCCACCGCACACAACTGCCCGATCCCGATCACCAGCGCTCAGCCATCCCGATGGAATCCTTGGCCATCAGGATATGACTGAAACAAAGGTCGACTGACCTGGATATTGTTGGCCCTAGGCTGCCTATCACGGACTAGCGCACCGCACATATATGCCTCAGTTGCCGACATGCTAATACAACCACTTAGACGTCCCACAGGTTATGACCCGGATTGCTTGTTTTTTTTATTAAACCTTCCACTGCTCATCTAACGTCTCGCGAGCTGCTACGCTGATCAGCAGAAGGGATCCTGACGAAGGCTAGAAGAGCTTTGATCGCGGGAAAAAGATTAAAAATTGATTGATATAGGGGGAAGAATGCCTTCTAGAACTCGAGCTACCATGAGGATGGATACCCCAGCTAGCAATGATGAATACGAACCTATCACTACCACTGAGCCACCGGGCCCAACACCAACAACCGATACCTTAATACAGATGATGATGGAATATTTGAAAAAGCAAGATGAATATCTGAAAAAGCAAAATGAATGTCTGAAGAGAATGAATGAATATTGGGACAGAAGGATGGGAAAATCCTTACAAAAATCAGCTGAAAACTCTGATTCTCTGTCAAGAGATCAAGAGGATATGAAACAAGGGGAGGATGAGATGGAACTGGTTATACAAGTCACCGTCATTACTCCTCCATCTACTGAAGAATCTATCACAAGAATCGTCGATGAATCTTCTGTCAGAACCGCCTCTATCACTGTTAGAATCACCATCAGAGATACCACGAAGATGATCATGATGAGATCCATCATTAAGAATACCACTGACACCACCACTGCCTCTGTCACTGAACAACTTTTCAAACATCGATACTACTATCACGAACCGAAGCCTCACAGATGCCGAAAGGGTGAAGGATAGAAGAAGGATAGATAGATTTGATTTCATTTGATTTGATTTGATTTGATTTCATGTATAATAGGATTTCTAGATAGATAGATATCTGTACAGCTGCTAGTCTGAGGGGAGGTGTTGGCTCTAGACTGTCTATCACGGACTAGCGGACCGCACATATATGCGTCAGCGGGCGACATGGTAATACAACCACTTAGACGTCCCACAGATAACTAGTGGTTGTCAATATCCCTTACTAATGCACATTCTCTTACCAAGGTGGAGGAGATTGGTGGTTAGGCACTCAGGAAGACCACCAAGGACCAATGGCAGTAGGATAGTGGAACTTAGGAAGAGCCAGGTTCCCCCAGCTGGCCGGATGGTAGAGTGGGTCCGAGGGGGGGGTGTTGAGGGGATTGGATTGTACCCTCTATACCACCACGGCGCTGGTGGTGATTGAGCTCTTTTGCCCCCTAGTGGCCTAATAACCCAATCCAATCCCCCCAACAATAACATCTGCCTATATCACGTGACCCATCACTATGTAGGAGGATAACGTTGGTTGTCATTACTAAACTAACTACGCGAGAGCAATACAAATGGATATGTTGTGGGACGTCTTAAGTGGTTGTATTATTAGCATGTAGGCAGCTGAGGCATATATGTGCGGTGCGCTAAGTCCGTGATAGGCAGCCTAGGGCCAACATGGATATGTTGGGGGGCACGTGATAGGGTAGCCGTAGTACCCAGCTCTTTGTAGATAGCTCCACCAATACAATCTTCAACTATCCTACACATATTATCCATGGATGTTGCTCTCGCTTAGATGGGTAACAATCACACGACCAACGGTATCCTCCTACAACATCGCCATTCATGCTCTTTTGCAGTGTTTCCCTAGGGCTCATCATGTGGGCCATACACCGTTTCAATAACGTTGAAGCTGAATTTACCACAAGCCATCTTGCCTGATGATTGCTCAAGCGGTACTCCGTACACGTTTGATGCTCGAGCCTTTTTCCAATCATGTACGGATGGAATCCACTTACAAGACGGGGGGAATTCATTAACCACCCAGCTCCAAAACATCTCTCACCGAACATTCAAAAAGTTTGTTCACGTCAACAAAAGCTAGTGCCATCCGAAGACCAGTCAGCTCAAAATATATATAGAACAATGCCCTAGGACTCACTAACAGCTTTGCCTATTTATAGTTAAACCAACCATCAGCTGGAAGCCTAGCTAAGCCTAGCTAGCTACTGAACTGAACTCATACAAGATTCTTTCTATTCATGGACCCTCATCGCCACCACACTATATTGGGTGGTCAGCGGCCACAGCTTGAGGAATCGAAGCGACGTGACGGTCTCTCATCTGCGTCTGTTCCTTTTTTTATAAACAGTGCGTGTTTCATCCCATCGTGATGAAGCAAGGACGCATTGACGACGGTTCCCTCCTGCCACCTGTCTCAAAGCCCCAAAGCCCCACTCCCACTCCCCCTTCCACGGCTGATTTCCGCGTCTCCAGCTTGTTTGGTTCTTTTATATTGCAGCTACTCTTCCTCCTTTTCTCCCTTTCCCTTTTCCCCTTTTTTCCTCCTTTCTTCTCTATTCCCTATCCTGTCTCTCTGGACTCTCCATACATATCTGTCTCTACCGTACCTATTTATTTATATATCTTTCTCTACACTACTTATTTATAGATCAAGCGTAATTGCCACCTATTATTTCTATCCCCCTACAACCGACTGAGTGTTTGACCCGTTAATCCTCAGCAGCCATGCCTTCCATTTGCATTAACGGTAATACACTCGATCCGAGCACAGAGTCCCGCCAATTGATGGACTTTGGTATGATCGCAGACGATGCTTCCAAATCAGACTACGTCCTCATCCAGGCAAGCTCTGATTGTCTGTCAACTGAGGAACATGGTGCGCTTCAGACCTTAGGCGTCAATATCATGGAATACGTCTCCGAAGGTACATTCCTTTGCAGCTACAAGGGTACCGACCTGACGCAGATTCGTTCGCTGGAATTTATCTCCTGGGCCAATACCTACTGTGATCAGTTTGTTGTGCAAGGCAGTCTGAAATCAAGAACTCCGCAGGTCAATCAATTGTCAGCATTTACTGCTACCCCCAAAACCAGTCACCTTCAATTGGTTGATATCATCGTTCATCACGATGTCGATCCAAATGATGACTCTGTTAGAGAGGCAGTCGCGAAGGCGGCTCGTGCTGATTTGAAATGCTTGGAAGCAACGTCTCAAGGTTTCCGTCTTCAGGTGCAGCAAGAATATCTTGATGATATAGCTGCCATTGACCAAGTATACCTCATCCAGCAGGTCCATCCCTTTGTTCTCTGGAACAACAAGGCTCGCGAAATCGTCGGATGTAGCGGCACCAGCACGTATACCGAGCCAGGTGACTGTCAGGGTGAGGGTCAGGTTGTCGTAGCCTGTGACACCGGTTTTGATATCGGCGATAAGGAGGATACACATCCAGCTTTCAAGGGCCGGGTCGACAAACTCTACGATATGGGGAGAAAGGGCAGGAGCGATGACCCAGACGGGCATGGCACGCATGTTGCCGGCTCCGTACTTGGCAATGGCGAGTCGAAGTCCATGGGAGGCTCGATTATGGGCACCGCACCCAAGGCTCACCTTGTATTGCAATCCGTCCTTGATGGGTCTAATGGCTTGGGTGGTATTCCGCGGGATTTGACTCAGCTTTTCCGCGTTCCGTACGAAGAATGTGGGGCACGCATACACACAAACTCCTGGGGATCAGCTTCTCCTTTTGGCCAGCTTCCGTATGACGCGTCAGCCCGACAGATTGACGATTTTGTCTGGAAACATCCTGATATGGTTATCCTCTTTGCTGGTGGTAACGATGGAGTAGACGCCAACCGCGATGGCAAGATCGACCAAGGCCAGATTGGGTCACAAGCATCTGCGAAGAACATCATTACTGTTGGCGCTAGTGAAAATAACCGTCCCGACATCCCCGTCACATACGGCAGTCGTTGGCCAGTGGATCCCCTGTGCAATGACCGAATGGCCGACAACCCCAAAGGAATGGCGGCTTTCAGCAGCCGTGGACCAACCGTAGAGGGTCGTTTCAAGCCTGATGTGGTCTGCCCGGGAACCGCCGTCTTGTCCACTCTCTCACGACGCGCCCAGATGACCTCTCGATTTGGACAGAGCAGCGATCCCTTGTGGATGTTCCTGGCAGGCACAAGCATGGCAACTCCTCTAGCTGCTGGTTGCGTCGCATGTGTGCGCGAATGCCTTGCTAAAAACGGTGTGAAGAGTCCCACCGCCGCACTTCTGAAAGCTCTGATCCTGCATGGTGCTATGGAACTCGTCGGGCAGTATACACCCAGTGAAGCTGGCCCGTCTCCCAACAATAGCTCCGGATGGGGCTTGCTCAATCTCACGAACTCTATTTGCATAGCTAGTGGAAGAGGTGGAGGCTATCTGGAAGGTAAGGCACTGGGGCATGGTGAGAAGGCACCTACACTCACTCTGACCGTTCCTCCAAATGGAACATTGAAGGTAACTCTTGTGTGGACCGATCCGGCCGGCCCACACCTTCAGAACGACTTAGACCTCAGCGCGATAGCCCTCGATGGCCAAGAACGCCACGGAAACATGGGCACCGGTTCTGGTTATGATAGAGTGAACAATGTTGAGCAAATTATGTGGAACAATCCTCCAGAGGGAAAGGTGGACATCACTGTGAAAGCATTCCGCATCACCCGCCCCTCTTCCCCCCAGCCATACGCTCTGGTATGGTCCACAACCTGGCCTCCCGACCCGAAAGCATGAACATCTTTCGTTCGCCCTATTAAACCTGTATTCTAAACCTAATATGTTATCGCTATGTTTCCTTTTGTATTTTCCAGCCGAAGATTATTGCATGATAAAATTACCAGCGGCAGAAGCCTTTTAAAAGGCGGGAAACCACAAAAAAAAGGCACAAAACGAAACAGAAAGTGGAGGGATAGGAGTTTAGACTTTCGACCTGTTTCAATTCCTAGGAGTGTTAGCTGGTAAATGGTAAATTATAAATAGTTATGTATCTTTCAACTAATATGTAATCCCCATGATCCTACATTCAATCATCCCAACGGACGACATGTCTTATATATATATATATATCTCCAGTCCTCTTACCCCTTTTAACAAACCTCATTCTACCAGCACCCACGTGTAGAGCGAAAATATACATACTATGGATATTAGCTTTCCCTTTAAACCATGAAACCAAACCCCACGGTTAGTCATAGTAGTAACCGTCGTCCGACTATTTTCCGAAAGTTCTCTGACAGGGTGGGGAATAATACGGAGGAAGCCTTCTTGCATGAATGATACATGAAGTTTAATTTTTGAACCGCGCTGACGGAACGAATATTTTGGGCGGTGAACCACTATAATTGGTGTGGCGCTCTATGTATGTATGTACTGGTTGTCGGCTATGTATGGGTTATGAATGTAGGAAAAGTATCTGTAGAGTAGCAGGAACGAGAGGACGGGAAGCTGTATGATAATGCTTCTGTTAACTAAGTATCAACTAACTAACTATATTTAACTATGGGGTATTAATAACAGGCATACGCCGTATGGAGTACGCTGATTGGACGTAACGGGGTACATGTGGGCTCAAAACAAATGCCAAAAAGAACAAGACAGCAATGACAACTCCGTCTCCGGCCTTTAACGCCCCTTCTCTCTCCGTCCGATCTACCATGTGTGATAATATATGAGGGTTTTGAACAGGCTTTTTTTTTTTTTTTTTTTTTTCTTCTCCCCTTTCCGGTCCTTTTGCCTACCCTCTTTCTTCTACCGTTTGATATGTAGACGAGGAATGTTTGCGAGTTGGGCTGTATGCTGATGGGAATGCCCTGATTAAAACTGTATGTTCCATGTATACAAAAAATGAATCAACTGAATCAACATATATATACATATACCGAGCAGTCAGCGTGTTCTCTGGCGTTCGGATCGCTTCCCCGTATCATGGCTGGGGGCATGATGGGGTTGGTTTTTTTTTTTTTTTTTTTATTCTTTTTCCTGTGTTGGGAATCTAATTGTCGAGGTGGATTTGAATTAAGCGGACAGGGGAGGTGGGTGAAAGAAACCGCCCGCTATTTTTTATTTTGTTTATTTTTTTGTCTTTCTCACTTTCAGGAGTTTCGGTAGGCACATGTCACATTCACATCGCTGCGGGAGCGAAAGGGGGTATGGGAAGTAGTCCCCTTTTAACTTCAACAGATTGAGAACGCGTGATCGAGGAGCCAACAAGTTTCTTGTCTTGTTCTACGCGTCTTTATACGGGTGTGTTTGCGTGTGTCGCGCTAGCGTCACTTCCGGAAGTAAAGTTGTTCCACAGAGATCGCCAGATCAATCAGTCCCCACATATTTGAACCAGTTTGGTCGGCAATCTTCTAACTGAAGGAAAGGTTCACCGGCATAAAACTTCCCTGGCGTACAGCCCTTGCATTTCGGAGAGTTCGGGCAGTTAAAGTATGGGATGTGTTGGTAGCCGATGTCACGGAACCTAATCGATAGGATAGGACATTAGGATAGGAAATTGACGGCGTAATGATATTGGAGAATATTGTGAAGGCGAAAAAGAAAAAAAAAAAAAAAAAAAAAAAGAGGAAAGAGAAAAGCAAAGAAATCTTGACGTACCAATGGATTTTACTCTTGTCTTCGAATAGGCCGAGGCCGATAGAATGTACGGGTGCATCTCCCCATCTTTCATAGAAGAAGCCTCCAGCACGATCCAAATGGTTGAAATAATCCTCATAGGCCTGGCTTCGATAAAAGGACATATCCGCGATTTCGAAGTTGGACCAGAAGTGACAGGTGGAATAGCCGTTCGCGTCCTTGTGATGTTTTGGTCTTTGCTTATTGTCCACTAGCCAGTCCATTGCATTGTTTTTATGTAGGTAATTTGGGTGTGCCTCGAGGAACTTAAGTGTCTGTGGCCATAGAGTAGTAATGCTTTCAGGAGCATCATAGAGATTGATGGTGAAGCCATAAGTTTTGTTGTGGTCTTGCATGTAGCGGAACACGTCATAATCGACGTCGCAGAAGAAATGGACCTTAGGTTCAACTCGCCAATAGTACTGCACGTTTTCCAAAGCTGGGTGCTTGTAAAACATGCCACTGTTCCAGCGACACATTTGATGGTATGACATCAGGTTGCTGTATTGTATATTTTTCTCCTCGAGGATTTTGGAGGATTCGTCGTAGAGGTCCATATTAATGAAATCGGGCACATCCCAGTGCTCTTTTGGGATTAATTCTGGTAAATGAAAAAAAAAGGATTAGATCGCCATTATATACAAGGGGGAGGCCGGGAGAAATTCTGCGCATTTATCCGTACCGTAATTGCATTTCGCTTTCGTTTCTGCTTGGGTTCGAATTTTGAACTCTTCCGTAAACTCCTTGTCATTGAAAAAAGTCCAAGGATAATTGAACTTGCTATTCCATGTCCTTTCCAGATCCCTCATCGTCAATACCAACTCCTCCAATTCTTCGTTCCGAACTAGGGAGAGGAGCGTCGCATTGATGCGAGCAGAGTTGGGATTGCCGGGCGCATACGCATCATCTTTTGCCCGCCAAAGTGGCTCAGGAGGCTCTCCGGTAGCTACGGATCTTGTCAATACGTGTCGGATTGTGATGTGGTAGCACACGAGTTACTCACGATCTAGAAGCGGTTCTCGTAGCAGCCCATTGTCGTAATTCCCCTTTTCTCTAGTCAGAGTCGGGGGTGATTTGGAGACATGGAAGATGAGAAAAAGGGTAAGAACGAAGCAGGTCGCTAAAAGAAAACGAAGCGGTCGTGCAAGGCCCATGGTGCTACTGTGCGCATGGCCGTTGACTGGTTGGAGAGTGAGGGTGAAGGGATAGATTTCTGATTGTTGTCTGCGGTAGAGAGCAAGCTGTGGAAGGTTGGTGGTTCGAGCCGCCTCGTTGGCTGAATCAGCAACAAATTCGCCTGCCTGTTACGGACTAGTTATGTTTCGCGATATCATTATCATGGGCATCACGGCACTTCGACAGAACTATGAGTAAATAGACGCGTAAGGATATCGATGCCCCTGCCACCCGCGACTGAGTATCTAATCTAAGATTGGATACAGAATATGGCAGGCTATGGCTCTATCAGCAAATGTCGGGGCACTGACTGACGAGCTCATCATCATAATTACAAACACGTCCGACAAAGCAAGTATTCAAGCCGATAATCAATGGACTGTTCTGTTTCTAACCTGTAGCAGGGCAGCCGTCACTTTCATAAGTTAAAATCCCTGGTTGAGAGGACCCTGAAGAAGAACAGTGCTGGAAGAACAGACCACTTGGATGTTGCAAAGAGACTTGACGGCCTCCAAGAAAAATTTCAAGTTTTAAACAAGGATGCACTGTCCGACGCACTTCGTATACGCCTGGAAGAGCTAAATCAAAGGAGGAGCCATCGGGCCCCTGAACTGTTGTCTTTGCTCTTGGAACTCTCGGATAGGCCTGCGATACATTCCAAAATCGAGGACTTGGATTTACTTCAACGACCAGCTTCGCCCCCGCCTTTAACGTGGAAAGATATTTATGCATCGGACCCTCCCAGTGACCAGGAAGGTATTTGGCAGGATATCGATTTTGCTGCACTTTCCTCCGATGATGATCTATCAGACTTATCGAGCGACATATCTATCCCCCGAATTATCCCTCAACGGCCCAAGCCTCCATTGGATGATTTTAAGGTCCCTGATAGCGCTTTTTTACCAGTCGAAGATGAGACCTTGCTTTCACGCATCCAGGATCTTGAGCTCTGGAGAAATAGGGCTGCGCAAACTAGTCAGCCGATGAATGAGGATGACCTGTGCCTTACTGAGTTTCAAGTAATAAGAGAGACCATATTTATGCTTCAGGACCTGCCTACTGTTTTGTTTTGGTATTTGGACGGTAACGTTGAGGTTGATCGGAGATTTAGATTGCGCCACGTATCGCCAGTTGCCTTCGGGAACCTACTTCGCTCATTTGGTGTCCAAGGAGCCAAATTACATGTTATTCGGCAGTTTGTTAAGCGCCCCCAGAAACTTCAATTTATGCAAATGTTTCAGCGCGAAGTGGAATTTTACTTGAGTAACTTTACCAAAAATTTATCGCATATGGAAGCGGAATACTCAAGAACAACTGAGTTTTCTACGCCGAGTTTGATTCGACTCTACTCAGATGTGTACGAGGAAACATATCTGCTACGAGAACTGTCAGACATCATCAACAAACTAGGCGATCAGTCGCAAAACGAGCCGTTCCTGTGTTTGGATTTACTCTACGAACTTGTTTGTTCGAAACAGGCGTGCGGAGACGATAAAACTTTTCAGGATGTGGCTAAGATATTTTTCAAATGCTTCGAAGTGTATGCAAGGCCAATACGACTGTGGATAGAAACTGGACTTCTGGACAGGACCTTAGGTTCATTTTTTGTGTCTGATTCGGGAAAGCAACTCACTGACCTAAGGACGCTTTGGCACGAATGGTTTACACTGGACGAAGCTCATGGACAACTTTACGCACCTAGTTTTTTTCAACCTGCAGCAAAGAAGATTTTTACCACGGGAAGAAGCATGATATTCCTTCGCCGCCTCGGCATAGATCCAGCGCTTTTAGACGCCCCCAAATGTAAAAACTTTTCGTATGAGGATATTTGTTCTTCAGAATTCTTCTCTCCCTTGATGCCATTTACAGTACTTCTAGAGCGCTCATTTGATCGACTCATTGATTCCAACCACTCTTTTTCTTCGAACTTGTTACGGAAACAACTGGACGAACAGTGTGGCCTCTGGGTTTCCCTGGAGGCACTTGAGTACATATACCTGGGAAAAGACATGTCACTTTCATCGATAATCGATCATGAAATATTCGATTTGATTGATAAAGGGATTCAGTCATGGAACGATAGATTCTTCCTCACCGAGCTCGCTCAAGGAGCATTCAGTAGCCTAGCCTGTATCGATCCCAGTCGTCTCATAATCAGATCAAAGCAGCTCGGACTTCGAGATTTTGAACACCACTGTCGCTCCGTCCAAATCTTGAAAGCCATCGCCATGGACTATATTCTTCCTTGGCCAGTGGCTAATATTATTACAAAACAGTCACTTTTAGCATATCGACGTGTTTCGACTTTCCTTATGCAAATACGACGAGCCAAATATGTCGTGGAGCGGCAGCGGCTCCTAAGATCATTACATTCAAAGACTGAAAGCGAGAAGAAAGACGATGTTCTCGGGTACAGCATTCGACACCACCTCGTCTGGTTTTTGAATGTCCTCTACGCACATCTCACACAGCTTGTCATTTGCAGTTCGACGGCAAACATGAAGGAATCGCTATCGAAGGTGAAAGATGTAGATGGGATGATAGCTGCTCACCAATCATACACCTCGTCATTAGAAGATCAGTGCTTGCTCTCCCCCAACCTCGCCCCGATTTACCAGGCAGTCACATCCCTTCTTGATCTATGTATACATTTCTCTGATATTCAAATCTCGCGCCATGGCGACAATCAATTCGACCAGGGAAATAGCAGATCACTCCGCTCCTCCACTGGGCATCGATATAGGGCGAGCGGGAGCCATAGGAGTCGTCATTCCTGGTCCCGTGATGATGAATCTAGCTCTGTTGACGATGACGGTACCTGCGATACTGATGATAGCATGGAGGACGAGGGAAATTTAACCAGTGTCTCGTTTCTTGAAACGTCGTACAGGAAGCGATTAATCGCTGTTAGGGATAAATTTGAGCGGTTGTGTTCGTTCATTACGGCAGGTTTGCGGGGCATGGGGCGCGTAGATGGTCACAACAGTTGGGAGATTCTTGCGGAGAAATTGGAGTGGAGGAAGAGTACGGGTGTGATATATTTGTCTTAATTTCGGCATTACGCAGGTCACGATGCATGTTGTTATATCCATTGTATAGCCGTTGATTACAATGTCTCTAAAAGCTGGTTACCTGGGCCCCCATGAGAAGTTTCCCTGAAATATCGGTGCTGGATACCCTAGCAACTCTAGATTATCATTCAAAATTTGCATCAAACCATGTTCGCTTCTATTAAATCAGAGCTGGCGTCTTAATATTTTTTTCTACAAGTAACTAAATATGAAAATGGGTACGGGACTGTTTGGCGTTGAGACATGTGAAGGATATAGAGGTATGCAGGCAAAGCGCCACAGATAGGCTGCGGTAGGATAAATGTTGAGAATTGATATAATTCAGCGTCAAGAATATAAAAGCTGAACAGGATGGCCGTGAAGGAAGGGGGTTACATCGAAGGAACTTGCCAAGGAAGACATGATGCCCAAAAAATAAATAAATAAATAAAAAGCAAAGAAAAACAGCTTTTGTTTAATCTAGCCAACCCATCTTCTTGCACTGTAGAAAAACCTCCCCCATGGACCAATATCACCCCATTCCTCTACCTTGTCGGGCGGTATCCAACTTCCAATCCCCGCCATGATAGTCCGCTCTGGATGCGGCATAAGAGCCAGGACTCTACCATCCGGAGTTCGGACTCCCGCTATACCTCCTGGGCTACCATTAGGATTGAAAGGGTATCTGATCGTAGGTTTCAGCGAGGAGTTATCCACATAGCGGATCGGTGCGAGATTTTGATTCACAAGACTCTCTGCGTCCGAACTCGAGTTTGTGAACGATGCGCGGCCCTCGCCATGCGCGACGGCAATGGGCAGGCTGGAGCCGTGCATGCCGTGAAGGAAAACGCTGGGAGTTGCTGGGTCCGGATCGCTGATGCCTACCATGCAGACACGGCCTTCGTACTGTTCGCTCTCGTTTCGTTCGAAGCTAGGCCAGTGCCGGGCGCCAGGGATAAGTTCCTTGAGACGGCTAAGGAACTGGCAACCGTTGCAGACGCCGAGAGCAAAAGTGTCTGGACGCTGGAAAAAGGATTGGAATTCGTTCCGGGTGTCTTTATGCAGGAGAACTGATTTGGACCAGCCCTGGCCTGCACCCAGGACATCACCGTATGAAAAGCCGCCACAAGCTGCAATGCCGACAAAAGATGTGAGGGACACTTGTCCGGATATAATATCTGTCATGTGCACGTCGACGGCAGTAAAGCCGGCCATGTTGAAAGCAAAGGCCATCTCAGCTTGGCTGTTAACGCCCTGTTCGCGGAGGATTGCAACTCGAGGTTTAGTAGAGAAGGGGGAGAAGCGTGAGGTAAGGTTAGTCATTAACGGCAATATTGATTCCTTGGGATCAAAAGTGAGGTTGTATGACAGGCCAGGATCTCTGTCGTCAAGGATATTTTCGTACTCTTGATCTGCGGCTGTGGGATTGTCGCGGAGTCGTTGCATTTGGTGGGATGTGCTGGCCCATGTCTGTTGCAGCTGGGCTCGGGAATTCCGATAGATCAAAGTGGAATCATGATAGATGGCCAGGTTTTGCTTGGATTTGTCGGATACCCGACCGATTCGGAATATCAATCCAGGTGGGGGGCCACAAGTTGAAAAGCAGCTTCGGAATTGAGTCTCATGTTTCTTACGGACCTGGAATACTGCACCAAGCTCCTCATTGAAAAGAGTCTCGAGAGCGTGGTGGGTATCGGAGCTCTGACATATATCATCAAGCATAATTTGAACTCCACACCTACCAGCAAACATCATTTCGGCAAGAGTTGTGAAAAGGCCTCCATCGGATCGATCGTGGTATGCAAGGACAATGTCGGCTTCCTGGAGCTGTTGGGTAGCGTCGAAAAAGTCTTTCAGAAGTTCAACATCATGGACGTCTGGGCATTGATTTCCCACTTGTCCGAACACCTGTGCCAGTGCGGATCCTCCAAGGGCCTTACGACCAAATGATAGATCAACAAACATAATCACGGTTTCTCCCACTTCCTCGAAGCTGCGGAGGGCTGGTGTCCAAGTTTTACGAATGTCGCCAACGGGCGCAAAAGCCGAGATCACCACAGACAAGGGGGCTGTAACTTCAAGTGGCTCATTAGATTTTTCATCCCTCCATTTCATCTTCATTGACATCGAGTCTTTCCCAACAGGTATACTAATACCTAGCTGTGGGCATAGGCCCAATCCAATAGCTTCAACTGCTTCGTATATCGCAGCACCTTCTCCGGGATGGCTCCCGGCTGACATCCAATTGGCCGAGAGCTTGACACGGGACAATTGACTAAGCAAATCTGCAGCAGCGATATTCAGGATAGATTCTGCGACGGCCATTCTTGCAGAAGCAGCTGGTGAAATTAGGGCCAAGGTCGGTTTCTCTCCCATAGCCATAGCTTCACCAGTTCTCATCCCTTGCAGCAATGATGTTGCCGTAACAGACACGTCTGACACGGGAACTTGCCAAGGCCCAACCATTTGATCCCTTGCCGTGAGTCCACCTACGGTTCTATCGCCAATGGTGATGAGGAACGATTTGGAACCAACAGCTGGTAGATTGAGGACTCTAGTAACGGCTTCGCTAAGCAGGCCATCCTTAGTGATGTTGGGCAAGTAAGTCTGAAGGCTAGAGTCGAAAGGAGGGAGAGAAAGTTGTCTAGATGTTACGTTCCTCGTCATTTTCGGTGGTTTGCCGAAGAGGACCGAAAGGGGGAGATCAATTGGATCGGGTTGGTTTTTCGAATCCCGGTCAAGAAGAATAAGCCTCCTGTCTTCTTCAGGCTGTCCCAGCCCGCGGCCAACAACGGAATAACCACAGCGTTCCCGTTTCACGATCGCGGTAAATTTATTCATCCCTTCCTCACCGACAGCCATAACATATCGTTCTTGAGCTTCACAGCACCATATCTGCATAGGACTCATGCCTCTATCAGCCGTGTCAATTTCACGGAGCTCAAATTTTGCTCCGAGGCCAGCATCATGAATTAGCTCAGGTAGAGCATTAGATAAACCTCCTGCCCCGACGTCATGGATGAACTTGATGGGGTTATCAGCGCCCATGGCCGTGCAGGCGTTAATAACTTCCTGTGCTCTCCGCTGGACCTCAGCATTTCCCCTCTGGACACTAGCGAAGTCGAGATCAGCAGATCCTTCTCCAGATGCAATGCTGGAGGCTGCGCCTCCACCCAGCCCGATGAGCATAGCCGGTCCGCCAAGGACCACTAAAAATGAACCCGGTTTGACAGCGTGTGGGTTTTTAAGTGCGTGTTGCGGCCTTACAGTTCCAACACCTCCCGCAATCATGATGGGTTTATGATAGCCTCGGAGTTCTGAATGTCCATTCCCGACATCGATTCTGGTAAGGAGGGTTCGGAAGTAACCGGCAGTACATGGTCTTCCAAACTCGTTGTTGAACGCGGCGCTTCCGATTGGAGCCTCAAGCATAATATCCAAGCTGCTTGCGATATGATTGGGCTTTCCAACGTCAAGTTCCCAAGGCTGCTTATGTCCAGGAATCAATAGATCAGAAACGCAAAAACCAGTAAGACCTGTCTTCGGTTTTGAACCTCTGCCGACAGATCCTTCGTCACGGATTTCACCTCCAGATCCAGTTGCGGCGCCAGGAAAAGGCGACACCGCAGTGGGGTGATTGTGTGTTTCAACTTTGGCCAAGAAATGAACCTGCTCTTTTGTTTGAGTCCATTCTCCGTTGAGTGGGTTGGGCGCCCAATAACCAGCTACTTCTCCTTCCAAGACAGCAGCATTATCGCTATATGCACTAATAGTGTATTCTGGATGCTGTTTATGGGTATTCCTGATCATTCCAAACAGGGTGTGAGGCTTCTCCTTGCCGTCAATGATCCAGGTAGCATTGAACTGCTTATGACGGCAATGTTCGGAGTTAACTTGCGCGAACATAAACAACTCGACGTCGGTAGGAGGCCGTCCCACTGGGCCACCAGACGCATAGGCATCCACCAGGTAATCGATTTCAGATTGGTCCAATGCCAAACCAAGTCGGGCGTTTGCCTCTTGTAGCACCTCAATCGGGGACTTGCTCTCACCATAAAGCGGTATTGTTTCAAGGGGAAGAGGTTGGTGTTCTGAGAACATGAGGTGAAGATCTGGCTCATCTTGACTTATCATTTGAGTCATTCGATCGTGAAGAACGTCCAAAGCAGCTTTATCCAACTCTTTTCGGTCTTCAGCAAGCAGACACGAGATTCGCAAACCGCGTTCAATACGCTTGATAGTATTTTTAAGGCCACAGACATGAGATATACCAGTAGCTTGCGAACTCCACGGCGAAATTGTGCCCGTTCGCGGGCTAACGTGATAATCAATGAATGGCCCGTCTGTTGACTCAAAGGAGCCCGGCACACCTACAATATCTCCGTAATGAAGAAGCTGTTCTAGAACCGCGCGCTCCCTTTGCTGCAAATCCCCAGCAGCATGAACATAATGAATCCACTGGGCCCGCACATCCTTCACACCGATGGTTGCTGCAATGGAGCGGCTTCGGGATTGAGTAAAGGCAATTGAGCCAGGAATCGTGAGATAAGTGGCCTGAAAGGAAGTCATTATGAATGCTGGTCAATGCGAATGGGTATATGAACAAAGGTCATCTAACCATAGTTGTAGATTGTCAGCAAGTGATACCCCGCGCCAATTTGGCTTACTCGAACTGTGTAACAGGCAGGAAGAGCAGAACACCTGGAGACGAGAACCTTCGTAAGGAAGAGTTTAGCTCTCTATTAACCAGCCATCAGCAGCAATGTCAGCTCCGTTGCTGTACATGTGAGTCTGTAAAGGCAAAAATATTCCCCGCCAAAAGCAAGAATTTCTTCCAAGACTTGCTAGTTGTTGTGTCACGTGCTGATAACTAGCGCACCGCCTGCGCCGCGCTAACCTTAGCATCAACAAGAATTGCTGTCGTTTGACGACGTGATGGATGGCCCCTAGTATAAATTTTCGCCAAACAGATTCTCAATGTCGCGAGACGCCCATAATTTTAACGATTATACAGATGGCTTAATATCCTTTGACAGAAACAAGGTTTGAACGAAGCGCAGCAATCTGCTTCTCTATCATCGCATGAAGACCTACTTGATAAAGGTTCCTCAATACTCATCTTTGCATTGAACCACAGATACCTGCCCTAAGAGCCCAAGCTAATACACGATCTGTTTCTTGCCATCCTTTCTCAATCTCACTTGAAACTTATCTGGTCAGTTTTCAGCGTTTGTTGAGCAACATCCCTGGTTACGGTTGAAGATAGACAGAGCTTGGATTTTTGCCTGAACCCCGCCAGGGCTCGATTTCGGAACTATGCTCAGCTCTGGCATGCTATTTGGCCTTTCTAAAACACACTACAAACTCTCTCTTCATGATATTTCTGATTCCCTTTCCCATCAGACTTAGGATTAGGGGTTTTCAGTTAAGGTCTGAGAAATATAGCAAGATAAAAGGAGTCAGGGTTGAAAGATGATGAACGAGCTAGAAATTGTCCGCCTGCCAACAAATTTTCCGGCCGAAAGCCCAAGTGAAAAAATTCAATCTTGAATACAACATGAAGATATCGTTTTTAAAAATTCAACTCATGATGCTCAGCATTTGCTTTGTTGAGAGAATTTGATTTTCCATTGTTTCCCACATTCAATTTTTTTTGCTAATCACGTTTAACTAGAACCCGAAAAACATTCAATTTTGCACTTCCGGCCCCAAGAGCGGCCTCTACTTATCCACTTGATGTGTTGAGACTATATTGGGCCGCTTGATCCGGGAAGACCCATATTTATTTTTTCATGGCCCACCAGATGACGACCGCGGTTCAGTTAGCGCCCTACGCTTGACTGAATCCCGTTCGGCAACCCGAACGTCCATATCGTTAACCATTGTGCATGCACAATGATATACACAATCTGCCTTCGGATCGATATTCGATTCTCAAAAGGGCCACGGAAATCCTGTCTAGTTATTTCAGGCAGCAGACCATTGTCGCTAAAAAAAATTGTTGAGGCTGCTATAACTGATATCCGCTTTGGATGTTTTGTTTTGTTCCTCTTTTTACACCTGGCCATGTCAAGATACATTCGTTAGCCAACTTTACGAGAATCGGAACTTCAGGGGTAAAACCGAATACTATGTACGATCCCAGCGGCGCATGATGCGGATTACCGTGCCTGCCAGTTCTCAAAGCCTCAGTGGCTATCCACTTAAGTCTTTCCTTCGCCACGAAATGTTGTCTGTATAAAATAAAGTGGGATCCCGAGCACTTATCCGAGCGCTCGCCGAGCGCCGAAAGAGAAACATCCCTGCAATTCACGGGCCCCTACGATACTTTATATAATGTCCAATGATAAGCATGAATCTGTAGTTTAAGGACCCCTCGTCCTTCTCCTGTCCCCACAATGAAGTCACCAACATGGCCGAAGTGCCGTTTTGCCCTGGCTAAAAAAACTTCTTCGCCTGGTATATATGGAGCTAGGGTGCCCAGTCCGTTTCAGCTGTTTCTAAGTATTGTTTATCTTCGGGGGGGAAAATATCACACACGTTGAAAACATTGTCAAAATGGAGGAGGAATCCCCGCACGTTGATGCGATTCGGCGTACGCCGACTTACTCTGCTGGACTTCCAGACACGATTGACCCCACAGACCTCCCATCCCGTATTCTCAGAGAGAATGCTACACTTGAGGAATATACACGAGAAACTCCCGAAGGCCGGATCACAAAGCCAGTCAGATCCCATGCAACAGGCAAAATCGAGGACTACGAGCTTGTCACTTTTAAACTCGACGATCCAGAGAACCCAAAGAACTGGAGTAAAGCGCGGAAATGGTACATCACGATGGTGGTGGCTGTTACGTGCTTCGTCGTCGCTTTTGATAGTAGCGTAATCACGGCTGGTATAAACCAGGTAGCAGAGGAATTCGCCGTGGGGGAGGTCGTGGCGCTACTTACGATCACAGTCTTCGTTATTGGGTTTGGTATTGGTGGGTTTTTACTCATTTTTTTTTTCATTTTCTTTTTGAATTTAAATTTGCCCCATTTCCAAATCGGGAGGGTAGGGCACACATTTTTGTCAGCATGCTTATATTTGCGGTTTCCAGGACCGATGGTTTTTGCGCCCATGTCAGAAATGATTGGCCGGAAACCAGTATACACGTCTACATTGATGGTCGCCGTTGTCTTCTTGATTCCTTGTGCGGTAGCCCAGAACTTTGCAACCCTCGTTGTTTGCCGCGCCATTGCCGGTGTGGCATTCAGCGCACCCATGACACTGGTTGGAGGTACCTTGGCAGACATGTGGCGAAACGAAGAGCGAGGTGTTCCCATGGCAGCTTTCAGTGCCGCGCCATTCATCGGCCCTGCTGCAGGGCCGCTTATCGGCGGCTTTTTGTCCGATGCGAAAGGTTGGAGGTGGCTCTATTGGTTACAGCTCATATTGTCAGGGGCCACTTGGGTGTTGCTCACTTTTACTGTCCCGGAGACCTACACGCCCACGCTGCTCGCCATGAAAGCCAAAAGGTTAAGGGAGGAGACGAAAAACGAGAGATATGTGACAGAAGAAGATCTAGATTCTAGACCAGTGAGCGAAAAGCTTCAGTTGTTCTTTTTCCGGCCATTCCAGCTTCTCTTCTTGGAACCTATTGTTTTACTCTTCTCGATCTATATGTCGATTCTCTACGGCCTCCTCTACATGTTTTTTATTGCGTAAGTGTTTTCCCATGACGTAGCCTAGAATTAATCTTATCAGGAAGTAGGGCTCACCTCTTTACCTTTTTCAGATTCCCCATCGTCTATCACGGAGGGAAAGGTTATTCCGCAAGTGTTACTGGACTCATGTTTATTCCTCTCTCAATCGGGGTATTCGCCAGCGCCTGCTTTTCTCCACTAGTTAACAAGCACTACTTAAAATTGAGTGCGCGGTATGGCGGTAGACCACCTGCAGAGATACGTTTGGTTCCGATGATGATGTCGTGCTGGTTTATTCCCATTGGAATGTTCATTTTTGCATGGACATCCTATCCGCAAATGCACTGGATTGGGCCGACATTAGGCGGCCTCCCTGTTGGATTCGGGTTCATCTTCTTGTACAACTCGTGTAATAATTACCTAGGTACTACTTATCCTTATTTTTCCCCCTTCGCGTTAATTTCCCTAGTGGGTAGATGACGTCATACTTACCCAGCTTTCCGACAGTGGACACCTACCAGCACCAAGCTGCTTCCGCGCTTGCCGCCAAAACCTTTCTGCGATCCATGTGGGGTGCGTCTGTCGTGCTGTTTACTCGCCAAATGTATGACAAGCTGGGTTACCAGTGGGCAAGCTCCCTTATCGCATTCCTCGGCTTGGCCTGCTGCGCGATCCCATTCTGTTTCTATTACAAGGGCGATGCAATTCGGAGACACTCCAAATACGCCTTTGTGGACGACGCAGAGCAAGAAATACTGGGGAAATAAATGATGGCAGCACAAAACCTTGGGTCCGGTATGATGTGTATCCAGTATGATGTTTTACCGTATACCATGGCGCTGGTGACCA